AAAGCAGCCTGGCAATATCCAGATACATTCAGTAGGAGCTGGTACCATTTTGTATTTCCTTGCTGCCTCAGGTCTTGCAGACTTGGAGATAATCCAGAGCATATTTGCCCTTTGTTGTGTATAGAGTATTTAGCCTGTTTTGTTAAAGATGTACATTTTTGAAGTCTTGATACAACAGTGTTTGGGAAGGAAGCTCCAAACGTGTATCATGCAAGTGCAAGAATACAGGTTTGTAGTGTCCTCCTCCTCAAACTAATGATAGATGTGCTGCTGAGCACTGCTCTGTGTTGAGGTGGTGGTGTTCTGAGCTTTTCTATCTTGCTGGCAGTGTTCTGGCTGCTGCCTGTGAGCAGTGACTGCTGCTTCCTCCCATTGTGTCTCCAGTCTGAGTTGCTGTGAGCTCACACTAAAAATAGTGCAGCCTCCACAGCTTTGGTCTCTGCATGTTGCCTTCTTCCTGTCTGGGGCTTAGAAAAAGCCTGAGAAAGGGTGTGTCCTGCAAAATAGGTTGAAATGTGTTACTGGAGACCCTACTCACTATAAATAAAGTGGAGGATGGCAGAGGAAGAGCATTTCCTCCATAGGACAGTAGCTCTGAATCCTATTCAGTAAGGCCAGAAATCAGGTGGTGTGATGCTGTCACAAAAATAATCTTCCTGGTTTCATAGTAGGGCATTTCTACTGGGGAAATAAGCTTCCCCCCTGGTTTTACAGAAATTTTACTTAGGAGTCTGTTTTGCTGATCTGTTTTGCTGTTATTCTAGCTAATTCTGCCTAAATCAGGGGTTTATTTCCATGAGGAATAACAGGCAAATGTACATGTGCACTGATTTCTGAACGCAGTGCATCATCAGTGGGGATGCTGAGAAGATGCTGCATAAGGAATTGCTCCACTGCATGGGCAAGATGTGAGGAACAATGGAAGAGAATCTGGAGTTATGCAAGTATTAATTATAATTTGGAAATTAATTACTACAGAAGTAGGCTGTAGGGCAGTAGTACAGCTGGAGTTCCATAACTCCAAGGAGCTATACATACCTAGGGCAGACAGCTGTTTCCATCGCACTGCATCTGGAAAACACCACAAACATACACTTTCTGTTACTCTGCAAAACAAAAGTTGGGAAAAAATTAAAAGGGGGGGGGGGAGGGGTGGATCTCATTGAGGTCATACCTTGTCATTTTCTGACTCCTTGCAGATCTATAAGTACTCTTCTGCCAAGTGGATATATATATATATATATTTTTATTTTTTTTTTTTTTTACATGGGTTTCTACTCAGATGGCCAAATTCATTCTAGTTTGGAGATCCTCAACAAATATAAAGTGTCTGTGATTTTCATTGTCTTGACTGAAGAGGAAGGGTTTGGGAGCATTCGTTTCCTGCCTTGCCCTTTCTTGGCCATAAGCAAAAGGCATTTCTCTCAAGTTGCTGTTCATGTTCCTTCCCTTCTGCTGAACTTCAGGGCTTTTTGTCTGCTGTATCTGGAGCCAAGTAGGAATGAGTGTTAATTTGTAAGGACACCAATTCAGGCTGTCACCTGAGATTATCGGCTTGATCTCTTTAATGGGATAGATGTGTTTGTTCTTTTCCAACCTGCCTTACCTTTTCCTGGAATGTTTTAGCCCGTATGGATTGAACTCTACCACAGTGTGGCTGAGTTCCTTGGAGCATCTTCAGAGTTAGGTGTGAGGCTTCCTGCTCTAGAGGATTGTCTTTGAAGCCTCTCTGAAGGAAATGTTTCTCCAGTGAGCAATTTCACAGCTGACATCCTCTCACTTTACCATTCAATTGAAACTTAGAAGGCATCACTAGGAATGTGGTTGAAATACCTATCAGTTAAGGGGCAAGTCACACAGGAAGAGCCTGCACAAGCAATCTTCATCTTCCTCCATTTAGCTCTATTACACGGATCTTTAGCTGTGAGCATGTGGAGTTCTTTATTTAGTACTGTCTTCAGATGGTTGGGGATTTTCTCCCTTCTGTCTTGTGCACCTAGAGACATAAAATCATTTGAGTTGGAAGGGACATTAAAAGGCAGACCACCTAGTCCAGCTCCTCTACAGTGAACAGGGAAGTCTGTACTTGAGCAACTTCAGAATATTCAGAATATCCTGGTCCAGCCTGGCCTCTTGCACTAAACAATCTTAATAGGTTACAGGTGCTAAAATTCAGATCACAATTTCTCTTTGCACTACCATGCATTTGCAAGCACAGCTTGTCCTGTAGTAGATCAGTCCGCTATCAAGATTTGCCAGAGCCGTGGTTGCAGATCCATGCCTACAGCTGATGGAAAGCTGAGTGGCCTCAGTGAATAGAGATTTCCTTTGAGAAGAGCAAGAAGAGACTTGAGCTGTTTCCCAAGCCAGCTGAGCTTGAGTATCCGCCCAGGGATCTGTGCATGCCCTGGCTCAAATCCCCTGCAGGGAGACATGGAGGAGAGGAGTTTTATCAGTTTCTTGACATTTCAGAGACCTGGAGCCATTTTGATGTGGATTTGAACTCACCCTTAACCTCTGGGTCATGGCCACTGAACTACTCTGCTGCCTGTTCAAGCTCTGGTGATCTTGGCTGGCTTTCTGGCTTAATTCAGAGACAGCCTGATGCAGCTCTGTACAGTTAATGCCCTATTAAGCAGTTAATTATTTCTCTATAATGCTAGCTTTTATCTTTAATACAACAGTTTTACTGTCTCTGATAATTGCACAGACCCAGATAACTCTCTTAAATCTAATGAGGCATGACAAGCCATGTTCAACAAGGCACCACGCCATTAACTTCTTACCTCTTGTCATCTTATCACATTGAATTACTATTTCTAGCCTGTGTGGCTGTGGATACATGTATGTCACTTCTCATTAGGACAACAGTAAAAATCATCCCTGATGCTCTTGTGATTCGGCTGGTGGTCAGCTTGGTGGACTGTGGAGCCATTCTATGCCATAGGGAAGTTTTTGTACTCTTTGCTTCAAGTTTGTTAGTTTCAGCTTAAAGAATTCTGGCCTCTCAGCTTTGTTAGTCCATGGATTTATTTTTTATTTATTTATTGTGGAAAGTGAGATGTAAGTGCTTGCTTGGATGTGCCTGAAGTCCTAGAGTTGAAGGACTTTTTTTTTTTTTTTTTTTTTTTTTTTTCTATGTGTCACCTTGTCATTGTGCCAGTAAAAGGTACAAAGTTCCACTTAATTGAGCATCCAGGCAGGGGAATTCCTAGATCTTTTCTGGCTGGATCAGGCAGGAATTTCCCTGGGAAAGCAGCCCAGAACAGTTTCTTGGGGCAGATGGTTGGGCTCCAGTTGGCAGGCTGAGTACTCAAGTACAGTGAGACTCACCCAGTGCATCATTTAATTACTGTATAGATGCAAGACAGAAAAGAGCAGTTTATTTGGGAGTAGCTGCTTCCAGCTAGTGTATTAATTTTTTCTTCCCAGTCTTTACTGAGCTTGTTGCTCTGTTGGTTGATCTTTCAGTTAATGGGTCTGTGGAGGAGTGTAATCTAGAGCTGGATACCAAATATGTGTTTGTTCTGGTGTTTGGTTAACTCTTGAAGTGACAGAGTAAGCTACAGAGCTCCAGGAGCAAAGACTTGGTGATGATAAAGTAGATAGCTGGTGGTCTGTTTGGGCGTCAGCAGCCTTTTAGAGCACTCATCACAATGACCTGCTCAGTACTGGGCAAATCTGGGTGGTGATGAAGGGCGTAGGGACTCATGCTTCTAATGCATACCCTTGAGATAGCTTGTCTGGGGAGGCTATACACTGACTCATACTTGTGTGTTCTGTAGCTTTCAGGCTCTAGGTTCCCCTAGATGGCACCATCAAGCAGCTGCTGTGCTCATGTCCTAGGATGGAGCGTCAGGAGTAGCATTGAATTAGTTTCTTTTTGCCTCCGAAAAAAGAAGTCACAGATCAGTAGTTTTAACTCTAAATCCTGTTCAAGCTGGTTGTGTTCCAGGAACTGATTGTGAAAGATCAGTTCCCCATTTACATGGGATTTTGAGGCAGCAGCTGTAATTGCAGAGCCTCTAGACTTGGATGTAGATGCTAGCAGCTATCTCACAAAGCAAAATGATGCTACTGAATGCCCTTTTATTAATTAGGTTGGGGAAAAAATATAGTGAGGAAAATCTCTCCCAGGTCTCCTTGTTGCAGGGCACTGATATCTTAGGTTTAAGGGAAGAAGACTTGGCCAGGTAGGTGGAGCTCTGTAAAACAAATTCCTGGTTGGATTGACAGCAAAGCAGTAAAAACAACTTCTGTGTGCACTATAGCACTAGGAGGGCTATTAGCAGCTTCTATTTGGGCACATAAAAGCCACCTGAATCCAGGGAGAACATAAATCTGTGGAACAAGCAACCTGGGACCCTTGGAGATGCTTCTGCAATGCTCAGAACACTGTGAGCAGAACAGAGTTTAAAAATGAAAAACAAACTTAGTGTTATCTGCAAGTAGTAATTATCTGCAAGTAGTAACTGTGATAAAGAGCTCTGGAGGGTCCTGGAATGGAGGACTGGAGTGGCTGCAGAGACTGAACTAATCTATATGCAGAGGGACTTCATTTAAAGTATTCATATATCTCTTAATATCTCGTGGTTGGTGGTACTGAAACCACATCCCAGACACAGCCAGTGAACATCCAAAGCATGTGTAATAAATCAGTGTTCTAATAGTGTCTCCAGTTTGTTGGCATGAGCTTGGAGCCTCATCTGTTTGCAGTTTGGTCCTGGCACCTTTATGGTAGGGGTGCTTACTGACTTCTGATCCTGTGAGCTGCAAAGAGGTGATGGCTTTATTGTGCCTCTGGAATCCAAAAGCTTGATGGACTACTGGGGTACATGGTTTGAATATCACTACCATGATTCTGATTTGCCTGGAAGAATTATCAGGGCTGGCAGATAGTGATGAAACCTCCCCAGCTTCCCTCTGGCCACTTGACAGGGAATGGAAATACACATCTGTTCAGCTCTGATGGTTAACATAATCTTTAATTTTCTTTGCAGTAAAACGATTTAAAGAACCAAAAGAAGAGAGGCGTCCCTGGAGGATATGGTAAGATTTTAAATTTGGATGTTAAAAAGCCCTTGTACCTCCAGTATTTCTTCTACCAACAATCTTCATGGCTCTGTGACTATTCTATTGGTGTTTAGTCTTTAAATAAAATGCTCTGCTTCTACTTCCCAAGACAAATTTCCTAAAGCAGCTGGTACTCCCTAGAAATAAATTCCCTCCCTAGCTCCTCTAAGAAAGTGGTTGATCCAAGAGATTATGGTCCTCTCAGATCTGCTAACACAGCTGCACATGGGCTGTCTTTCAGACCAGATCAAGTTTTGGTCTTAAATTCAATTAAACAGATAATTACATCTGATAGGTTGAAGAATCATATGTACGGCCAGGCTGGCTTGCCAGTGTTAGCAAAGAAAAGCCTCTGTCCCCTGGCTTTGGTTCTTCCCTTAAAGTAATTTGGAAATTAATGGACTTCCCTTCTTGGGTATCAGAAATGCTTCTTAAAGGAAAACGGGCCTATGCCCAGCCTTTGCTTGGCTGACCTCTGCTGATGCTCTAGGAAACAGATCTTGCTTTTTTCTTTCCAGGTTTTATGATACCTCCAAGCAAGCAATTGGTGCCCTCTTCATCCACTTTGCCAATATTTTTCTGTCTGATCTCACTGAGGAGGACCCTTGCTCTCTGTAAGTACCAAAGGCACTTCCATTCACATCCCACATCTTGAAAAAGAGGGAGGAAACCAACCGGAAGATGTTTCGTTTCCACCATATATGGCTGGCTATTTAAAGTACTGGATGGATACTAGAGAAGTATGCTTTGCTCAGCGTGGTTGAAGGCCTTTATCCAGCCTGGATAAAAAAGCTCCAAGAAAAAGGATGTTTTTCTTGGAACTTCAGTTTTACCTACCACATGCATTCATGTTGTCCTATTTTGGGGCTATGTAAATTAGGCTTGGAATTTAACAGAAATGTATCTTTACTCCAGACCAGACAATTTGCAGTTATAATTCATTTCAGAACTAGGTAAAGTTGATTTTTGTGTATCCCCTTTGAACTCCAAAATGCTGCTCAAAACTTCCTGGCCTATCTCCTTTGTTTATGTTAGAATGCTGCACTTCAGTGTGTTTCTTTAAACAGCCACAAGTTTGGCTGGGATTAAATGTAACCTCTAAAATGATTCATGATTGCTTTTAAACTTATGTTGTTTGAACACAACCCCGTTTATGCTTATGCTATGCCCTTCAGTTTCTCCTAACGTGCTTGCCATTTTCCTGGTCTGCCTGCCTTGAATACTGAACTGGGCAGAGCTCTGATATCCTGCCCTTGGGTTCTGCTGCTCCTACGCTGTGCATCCTGCCCAGTATAAACTGCTAGAGTCCCCTGTTTTATTGGGAGTGCTCTGGGAACTCTAAGAAGCTAGTTTGGGAAATCTTAATGCCTTTTCTTTAAGTAGACATCAAAAGCAGATTGTTTTTTTGTTTTTTTTTTTTTTTCCCCAATATCTTTGTTCAGTGATATCAAGCTAGGGAAAGGAAGCATTTGTTCCTGTGCTTGGTGGTGTTTTCACACTGTAGAAGTGTCTGACCTATTGCTGCAGAACAAGATTCTAATAGCGCAAAATTGGCCAAAAACATATGAGAGATTTTTCTGTGAGGCTCATTAAAATACTGAGCCCTGGGTTAGAGATTGAACTTTGCAATCCCAAGAAGGCTCCTGCAGATCTTCTGTCTCTTGCACACTTTCCAGTGAGGCTTAAACCTCCAAAGCTGCAAAGCAAGTTCATCAGGCCAGAATCTCCTGATGGGGATGGATTTTGCTGCTGGACCTGCAGCAGAAACCCCAAACCGGAGGCTTTCCAGGACCCCAGGCTTTTGAGCCAGGGATTGTTACCTCTCCTAAATTCTTCTGCCTCTTGCTTTGCTTCCCTGCTCATATAGCATTTTACACCTGCTCTACGGAAGTGAGTTTTAGCCTTTCCTGTGGAGCACTTATGTTGTCCAACAAGTTTCAGTTTTCTGGTATAGAATTCTGAAAATGTTTAGAATCATTAACATTGGAAAGACCACTGAGATCATTTAATCCAATTGCCAACTTGTTACCTCCATACATACTAAACCATATCTCTCAGTACCATATCTACTCTTCTGTTGAACACCTCTAGGGATGGTGAACTCCACTGCCTCCCTGGGCAGCCTGTGCCAATACCTCATCACTCTTTCTGAGAGTAAACTTTTCCTAATATCCAACTTGAGTCTCCACTGGTGTAATTTAAGGCCACTGTACCTGTGTAGTTATGCTTCTATGAAACTTTGGTTTTAATTTAAGAACAAAAGGTGTTGTAAATGGAACCCTCTCTTTTTTAGGGAGTAAACCCTAAGCTACAGTAACTCAAGTAGTATTTAATGCTGTGTGAATAAATGAGTGGTGCCAGGAAGATGGTGGAGCCTCCTTCCACTGCCGATCAGGCTCTTAAGCTGGTAAGGCTATTGGTAAATTCAGTAATGTTGGCAAGGAAGGAAAGCTTGGACCACTAAGTAAGGATTTGAAAATCATAGTTTTTGATTTCCATATTTTGAAGATACATAGTGAAGCTTGTGTCATATAGACTTGAACACATACAACTTGAATTTGCATTTGGAAGCCTCACAAAGAGACCTTTTCCTCTGTTCCTAGCTACCTTATTAATTTCATCCTCGATGCCACGCTGGGGATGCTGCTGATTTGGCTTGGTGTGAAGGTGGTCTCCTGGGCTGTGCAGCGTCAGAAGTACACATATCTTGTCTTTGGAGAATATGGTACGTATCTACAGCTCTGCACAAAGGTGACTTGTGTTTTCTCTTCTGTGAAAGAAGAAAATGGCTGGCTAAGGGGAAAAACACGGACTTCTATTCTATTACACATGAACTTCTACTTCTGTTATCTGTCAATAATCAGCACTACTGAATCATTAAGGCTGCAGGGGGGAAAGAAACACTAAGATCATCTAGTCCAATCATCAACCCATCCCTGCCAGGCCCTTAGTGCCACATCTACCCTTCTCCTGAACACCCCCAGGGGTGGTGATTCCACCACATCCCCAGGCAACCTGTTCTAATGCCTCACCACTCTTCCCGAGAAGAAATTTTTCCTGTTATCCAACACCTGAACCTCCCCTGAATGTTAATTGTGTTATATTTTGGGGGCATCGCTACATTGTGGTAACTGCTGTTGTGTTAGTCATGCTTGGGCACAAAAGATTGGTGATAAAAGGTTGAACATGTCCTGAAGTATATAATCCCACGATGACGATGTGACAAATTATGGGTTTGGATGTCACAGTGGTTTTCTGTAGGGCTCCATTGTGGGGGTTTTGTTATTGACTTCCTCCAGCCTCTTCTTGAAATGTGCAGTTCTTTCAGTTGTCTCGAGCTGTGGTAGGCATCGACAGACCAACAAAACTGGGTTATCAAATGACATGTTTTCCCCAAATTACGTTTTAAAATGTAATTTTTTCATTTAAAAAAAACCTCTTAAAAGTGCATATAAGCTTGTCAGCCTCTGCTTTGGTTCGTTTCAAGAAAAGCCTTTCTCCAAAAGTCCCACTAGAGGGTAGCACTTCTCTTCAGGAGGAGGAGAGCAGTGCTTCTCCGCTTCTCTGCAGAGAAGGCAGGAGTTAACCCATTAGGCTATTCTGTGTTAGTCTTTTTATTTAGGAAGCACACATTCACACGAATAACTTTAAGTCTTTATGTTATTAAGTCTATTCTAAGGGTAGTGACGTTCCTCTGTATTCTTTGAAGCTGGTGAAACTTAGACCAAAGTGGAATTAGTGTGGAGACAACACTGAATTCTGAGTTTTAGCTGAGACTTCTTTGGTGCATAAGAGAGGGAGTGCTACACCTACCTGAATAGGTTTCAGCACAAGGTGGAGAGGGTGGTTGGGTTTGTGAGGTGACTTGTGGCTAAACCTGAGAGTAGTTTTAAAGGCTGCGGTGTTCTAAAGTCATTCAAATGAGGCAGCAGAGGAATAAATATTCCTGGTTCAGGCATTGGTGCATTGTCACTTTATGAGCAGTGAGTACTCGAAGCCCAACTGCAGTCATCCCAGAGCACTGCTACACATGCCACGTCTGCAGCTGAATGGAAGCAAGAAAATGTTAATGCATATTGACAGCTTTAGCCTTGCAGAGCAGTAATGAACGTCTTGAGCTGAAGTTTCTGTAGACTAAGCCAACCTTTGAGGAGGGAAACAACTTGCTCCTCCAAGGAAATCTTGGTTTTGTTAACAAAAATGTTTCTGCTGCTGTTTGAATTTAGTTTTTGAACTGGTGATTAAATCTCATCCACCCAGCACCATTCTTGGCCAGAACCACTGTGATGGAAAAGTCAAATGGTAGTCAAATGGCATGTCAAATGAAATCTTGCTGCAGAGCTAAGAACTCTATCCTCATCTCTGCTGTTAAGTAACCTCCAGAGTGATTTGGAAGATGCTGGCTAACTCTCCACAGTTTAATACAAGCTTCAGATTCAGTTTCTGGACTAATTGATGTACCAGACTTGCATTGTTTTCTTCAGTTATCCTGAAGAGCAAAAGTTTCTCTTGCTGTTCTGCAGAGGAAGGTGGGCAGAATACCACATAAACACCAAATCCATGATGCAGACAGAACCTACACTGTTCTCTCAGGCAACCAGCTGTCCAGAACTGACTGTTTAAAATAGGTTATTCTCATATTTCCAAAAAAAAAGTGGGAGACACCCATTCTGAGATCAGTCTCTTGCGTCTTAGCCAGAGGCTGCTGAGGCCAGGAGTGACCTGTTTTTAGCTAGTGGAGTGTCAAAAGTTCCTATACCTTTATGTTCCTCCATCTTTGTCCAGAAGTTCTTTGGATTGTCTTTAAGCATAGAAAGGTAAATTTGGAAAGGCTGCTGGCTCTTCTGGAGGTGCTTGGCTCCTGAGAATGAAGACCAGCAAAGTTCACTCTTCATGCTGGTTCAAGTAGGTTTTGAAAAATGGTTGTTGATAAACTTCAGCCTCCAAACTTCAAGTCCTTCAGCCTCTTCCCAGTTCTTGTGGCTATAAGAAGCTTGCTGGGGGGAAACCTCTTGATGGCTGCAGCATCCCTGCACTGTGTGTGTACCAACTCAAATATTGAAGTACTTCTAAAATAATACTTTAAGGAAACAAACTCTGTCAACTCATATTAAGGCATTTTTGCAGTGAGTGAGTCAAATGCTGAAGAGCAGCATCCTGAAATAGTGAGAAGAAGTGGATATCTTGGCTTGAAAAGTTATTCAGGGAGGCAGGCTTATATAGGAGCATGGCTGTGGTCGCTGACTGTTCTGTTTGATGCCTTGTGTTCATTTGCTGCCCAGAAATGGAAAGGCGCTTTGCTTGGAGCCCTCTGAAGTCTGTTTAATGGTCTGTTGAACTCCACTGGTCAAACTCACAGCAGAATGTGCTTTGTGCCAGCTGCTGAGTTTAACTGAGGACCTGTGTAGGCTGCTTTTGGCCCTGCTGCGATGGCCTACAAAATTTCCATAGTAAATATTCCCATGAACCGAAGCAGCCAAGGGAGCTGGCTGCTAATGCTTGAGGAAATACTGCTGAAAATAGCTCTAACCTAGGGGACTGTTTCGTCTTTAGCATGCAATTCAGATGCTTTACCAATATTTCTTGCTTTCTGTACATAGCATCAAGAATTACACAGATACTTTTTTCTTGGAGGTACAATTTAAATACTCTTCACTGAGTTCCTATCGACTTTTCCCATCCCCACCATCTACCCAATACAACTTTCAGTATTTTCAAACACTCACTTTTCCTCAGCCTCCCTGAACTCTCTGCCCTGGCTATGGTTAAATATTTTCCCACCTGCTCAGTACATGTACAGTCCCTGGAAGACTACAAATAAAGCTGTCTGGCACTAACACGTGGACCTTGACAGCTTGGTACATTAGACAGCTTGGATTAAAACTAATCCTGTTGTGTGGTAACAAGTCAAATACCTCAAGGAGTGCTGCTTTTGCTCTGTAAGCAGTTGGGCTCCCATGCACAAGCAGAACATGAGCTGTGTCTGTGAGGTTGCTGCAGGCTCTGGGGATCCTAGGTCTGTTTTAAAGGGGTGATGCTGATGGTGGGATAGGGTGCTGGAGGAGAATGGTCGAAATGCAAAGCGTGCATCCTTTCATTAGGACTTGCAGGGCAAAGATTTGTCCTTGGTGCAGGGAGCCACTCAAAGGGAGCATGATGTGGCTTTCTGTAGCACATCTGCAGAGATCTTCTGTGCCTGTTCTGTTCCTTGCATAGAAAAGGAAGTTTTGCTTGCAGCAAAGGGAGGGCATTGAATTGGTTTCTGCTTCCAGGGAGCAAACTAGGTTTTGTTGATTGGCTATCCTGTATGGCAGAAACAGCTTTGGAGGCACTCACCCAAATTTGCTAGTGGAAACACCTGATACGAAATCATAGTGGTCTTTCCAACCATAATGAATCTAAGATCATCTAGTCCAGCTATCAACCCATCACCACCATATCAGGAGAATCTCTCACATCCATGGACTGAGGGATTTCTGGGCAGTGCTTGGCTCACTGAAGACATTAAGTGGCATCTAAGGGTACTCCTGGCCTGACTTTCCCCATCCCCGCCATCTAACCCAATGCTGGCTGTAGGAAGCCAGCATCTAAATAAGCACCCTTGTGTCACTGGGATACCTGGATGCTGGAGAATAACTGCGCAGACACCCTGTGATCTTTCTGCTAGGTAATGGCAGTAAAGGCATGGAATTCTGTGGTTTGGGATGCGTTCCTGTACAGAAACATCCCATGTTCTGAAAACAAAGCTTGGAGTCTTAAGAGGAGAACAAGGTTCCGAGACAGTAGCAGCTTGAGGCTGCTGAAGGTGATAGAGCAGATGGCCATAGGTCTGCAGGTCTCTTTGCAAATCCTTCAGTTGTTTAATCTGGGCTATTAGAAACTCTTACTGCAGAAGAGATGTGCAGCTGCTGCTTTAGGTGATGTAGGAAGGATCAGAGTGAGAAGCTGGATATTTGACGCAGAGGTGGAGGCACCTCTGACAAGGTGAGGTCTGGTGGGTAGTAAGGAAAAAGAAGGGTTTCTTTAAGACTGAGAGTGAGGGAGGAATGATTTAGGTGAGGAAAGCATTGAAGATGGTGAATCTGCCCCATGCTGGTTTAGGCAGCAGATTGTTTCTCTTACTGTGTGCATCTCAGCCATGTTAGCCAAAGCTTATCTGAATGATGGAGGGTTAGGGCTGTTAGGTGCACAGTATGCAGAAGTAAGATCTATAGCTGCTTGTGATAATGAATGGTAGTGACCTATTGCCAAAAGGATGCGAGGGAACAGGCATTTTGGAGGTATCTCCAGCTTGCTGATGCTTTTGGGGAGGGCTGAAACATCGGAGAGAAGTGTGCTGCAGGTGTCACTGCTACCACTGTGGGACAGCTGACTTGCAAAGCTGTGCTGTCAGCCCCTGTTTCCCCATGGTGGATTGACCACAACAGCTGATGACACGGAGCAAAAGGCAAAGAGTTCAGCTGCAGGAAGGAGACCATGGGTATGTTTGTTTTCCTGTTGTGTCTGTGTATGCTCTGATAGATGATGGTAGCCTAAGGGCTTATGAAAGGATTGGTTGGTCTGGGGATGTCAGGCAAAAAGCCCCACTAGGCTCAGCCAGTGCTGAAGAAGAGTAGATACCAGAACTTAGGAGAGGCTCCAGGAGCAGTAAAACCTCTTTGACCCCAGCCTTTAACTGCAGACTGCAAACGATGCTGCACAGACCACCCATCCAGCTGCTGCCTGCCAGGGAGTGTGGATGTGTGCTTTCCAAAATCCTCAGTGCTGGTTGCATTTGCATGTAACCTTCCCAGCTCCTTCTCCATGTAGTTCCTGCTGGTCTGGCTCTCAGCATCTTGAAACCACAGCTTCCACTTCCTTCTCTCCCCTCTTCAGTTGTGGCTTGGGCAGTTACAAAGCTGGAATGCAAGGTGATCACATGGAGCTCTCTGGCATAGAGAGACAAGCTGGATGCCTCTGTTCTTAGCAGTGGCTTTGCAAATATTTTGCTACATTGCTAACAAATAACAGGAAGGACAAACATGCATGCAGACCTGTTTTTGCACTCCCTGCTAAGCAGATTCTCCCAGTGCTGGACTTGGTCAGATAGCAGCTCTTAGTAAATCCTGGCCCATGCTGCTGGTTTCTGTGACCAAAGGTATGCATGATGATTTGGATCGATGTTTGCAAACTACTTGTGTGGGCTTCCCTTGCTGTGTCTCAGCAGCACCGTGCAGAGAAAAGCTGGGCAGAGCTCCCTGTCTGTTGCCATCCAAAAGCAGCTTGAACATCTTGCACAGATGCAATTCCAAGTTCTGGCCCAATTCCTCTGGAAGTAAAGTCTGCCAGCGATTATCTTTATCTTTGGATGGTAAGAGGAAGTGCTGCGTTTTTTCCTAAGCCAGATACAGCAGCTCAGTTTTGCAGGCCCAAGGTATCCTGATGACCTGGGAAAGTGATAACTTGCCAGGAGGGTACTTTCAGATGGCTGAAGCAAGCACATGTAATAGATACAGTGCCATTATCACTGCTAGCAATACAAATATGCTTTTTTATTATTACTTGGTAAGTACTTCGTTGGAAGCATTCATATTTAATTAGCATTGATTTTTTTTTAATTTTTTTTTTTTTTTTAGTGGGTTTCTGTAAAACCTAGGGGGATGGAGCCACTGTCTCTTCCTCAGACAGTGTCACATAACCATTTGTTCACTCAATCAGCAAAAGCATAATTTAGTTGAGGACTGAAAGCTTTTGTCTTACGTTGAAATCAGTGACCAGAAACTTTTGGAAATTAGCCAGGTAAGATTTGGCAGGGGAGTAGCTTGGAGGTGTAGAAAAGGATCTGTTGTGCAGTGCTTTGTTTTGGGGGTTGGGAGTGGATTTTAATTCAGGAAAGATTATCAGTCTGAAACTCTGGTCCATATGGAACAGGTTTTTTGTGAAGTGTTCCTATGAGCTTATTATTCCATAGAAAGTAATGGGGAGGAAAAAATGGTGATGGGGTGAAACTTTTCTTTATAGAATACTCTAGGTTTGCTAAGGTGAAGAGAAATGAAGTCTGTGGTACCTTGGCAAGAGGGGCAAACCAAGCTACTAATATTCCAAAAGCAATGCTTGCTTGTAAGGAGCCATTTGAAAGCTCAGGATTCTCAGCAGCTTAGAATTCTAGAATCACTAAGGTTGAAAAAGACTGCTAAGATTATCTAGTCCAAGTGTCAGCCCATCACCACCGTGCCCACTAAACCGAGTCCATACACACAAGCTTACTCTCTATATGAAGGTATACAGTGATCTGTGCTTTCAGATGGGGTACTGGCCACTTTGTACAAACAGGGTTTCTTCCCCTTATCCTTGTATTTATTTAGCTCAAAACAGCTCAGTACCATAGGCTGGATACCTGCAATGCCTGTTGGTAGCTGAAGGAGGAGGAAAAGATGCATCCGTAAGGCTCTGTACATTCAGGGCTCTCCCCAAGAGGAGGAGAATGTTTCCCAAACCAAGATCCATCTGTTTAGCTAATCTCCTTGAAGTTACTGGGAATGTTTCTTTCAGCTTTCAGTGGTTCTTGAGTATATGAGGGCTGCTGGATAAGCACGGGCAGAGCCTGGGCAGTCTCTCTCCCCATACGCATAAGGTGAACGTGAGCATTGTAGGACACGTCAAGCCTGAGGTCATTTACCTGCAAGGCTGTCTTGTCCTGTGTCTATGAACTGTGCTCTTCTTCCAGGTGACCCTCCACAAGCTGCTGCTTGGATTGGCCAGTGTATCCTCTACCTGCTGATTATGGCTGTGGAGAAGACCCTGATTAGCCTTGTCCTGCTGATCCCTGGTTGGACGAAGGTAGGCTCCTGAGCTGTATTTTATTTTCCTAGCTACAGCTGTTGTGTATTTTTCTTGTCATTTTTGCCCTGTTAATGGTCCACATCATCATAGGTCTTTAATCCTTTTGAGTTGTTGACAGCTCTCTGTGATAATTAGCTATTACTGAAGTCTGAGGAAACATGATTTTCGTAACAGCTTGGCTTGTGAAATGTTCTCCTGCTTGTCAAGAACTAGTGGAGTATGATTTTTCTTCAGTTTTCTGTTCTCAGAAGAATAAAATGGGCTGGGCTGATTGGTGGCTGAGCTGCTTCAGTTCTGCCAGGGGGTTTCCACATTATCTTGTCAAGTCAATACACTTGTGGTCTTGTGCCTAAACTAGGGAAACTGTTAGATTGTTCCAAATTGACCCCTATAGAGTACTGCCCCACCCTTCTCCTTATGCTTTTGTATGGTAACTAGGGGGACATTAGTTTGTTGGGATTGTTTTAATTAAAAAACATACATTCTTTTGGGAATTGTAGCTGTTTTTGTGGAGGAAGGTAGGCATTGTGGGTAATTCACTGGTACAAAAGCTATTTAAGGAATTAAGGGGCCATCCCAGTGCTGAGTGCATTTGCACTTGGTGCCTTGTACCCAAAAGGGCTGATGTGACCTAATTGCAGTGTTACTTGCAGCAGTCTGGGAGCATTTATCTGTTCCTGGTTAGAGCTTCTCTTTCAAATGTAGCAGCCTACAGTGCTCTGACTTGGCTGTGAGTATTGATCTGGCACATGGCTGTGCAAATACGTTGACTGTATTTTGCAGATAGGCTCAAGAAGCCAAGAACAGTCCTACCAGCTGTTGTAGCAGGTAGTTAAAGTCTATCTTCACTCATTTTATTGCTGAAAACAAAGCACTTGGCAGCTGGGCTAAAGAAATAGCCTAAGCCATCTCAAAGAGCTCTGCTAAAGCAAGGTATGCAGGGCCCTAGATAGGACATAGCTTAAGAATGGATCCTGTTTGCAGCAAACAGCTATTTGAGTAATGCTTCTAAATGCTTTTTCTTCTCTGCAGCTTCAGCAGATCCTCCTGAGTTACATCCCAAACCCCCAGTTGGAGCTCATCCTGGTCATGCTAGTTGTGCCTTTTATTGTAAATGTAAGTGATGCCATGGCAAGTACAAAATGGGGTGGTTTGGAAATGGGCCCTTTCCAATGGGAAGAATGTACAGGACGTGGCTTGGCAGCCTTGAGTAATCAAAGTGGATGGACAAGGTAAAGGGGAGTGGAAGCAAAGATCTTTGCTACAAGCACAAATCTGTATCTGCTGCCTACCAAGGGCTCTGCTCCTAACCCCCAGTCCCTTGCCCAAGCTGCTGTATGGCTGATTGTTTACTTTTTTGAGGACAGTTGAAACACATCAGCTGGGAACTGCGTCTAAACAGCAATGTGGAAGGAACAAAGGTGCTCCAAAGCCTGTTGAAGTTCTTATAGGAATGGCTTTTCAGTGGGAACTTGCTGTGCTTTCAATTGAGAATAAAAGTGGAGAAAGGGTGTATGAGAAGAGAGGTGTGAAAGACGAGATAATTCAGTGGACTTTCAGGGCAAATAAGTCCTCTTACTGTGATCCATCACAAGAAAGCTGTCCTTGATCAAGGAAGCTTTTTTTTTTTTTTTAAAGTGTACTGTAGCTGAGGAATGAAAAAACAACTTTGCATCCTGTGTATATGCCAAGTAAAGAGTCCCTACAGACAGCACAAAGCTGCAAATGTCTCAAACATCTTATTTGTACTCCAACCTTGAAGAGAAAAAAAACAATGCTATTTCTTGCTTATATTCACCAAGGCTACAGAGTGGCCAAAAAGGCATGCTTTCAGCAGAAATGCAGGCTAGTTTCCCATTAAAGTCGTGATCTGGTTGTCCCAGGAGTGCATAAGTCCCATTGAAGTGCATGGCAGATCTCTCTGCAAGTGACATGTATTTGGTATGAGGGCACTGGTTTGACAATGTGCTGTGCTTTTTTTTTTTGTTTGTTTGTTTGTTTTTTTGCAGTGCAACATGGGTAGAAAGCACTGTTAAAACAAGAGGTTTGGGTCCTTTTGACAGGTGTTGGGTATTGTCAGCAGTAGACCTTCTGCCAGACATGGTCTTTGTCCATCTGCATCATTTAAAGCTGTGATGTCACTGAGACTTAAATTTGCAAGCAGTCATGGGAACATGAACAGAAGTGCTAAAGCTCTTGCAATGGATGTAGTGATGGGCGCTGAGGAGCAGCAGTTCTAAGTTAAAGATACTATAAAGTAACTTATTCTGTATCAGCCATCTGTCTAGATTAGTTCGGACTGCCCAAAACTACTGATATTCAAACTCATATTGCAAACTTAGTTTGGCAAAAGCTGTTTCCTAGTTTTCTGGATTCTATGCAGTGTTTTACTAACAGATCAATTACTACTCTGATATGGCAAGTGAGAAAAAGATCTTAGCGTTGAGATCTCCCTGAAAAAGGGGTGAACTTTTATACTTACAATAGATGGAGTGTTGGCAAGGATGGGTTTACCTGCCTGTGCTATTCCAACCTCTCTTCCCAACCTCACCCCATGGTGCACTTGCTTGAAACTCTGGTTCTTAAAGTGGCTGATGCAGGCAGAACAAGTGAATGAATATGGGATGCCATTGGCTCAGTGATTAATTCTGGAAGAAACTTGGTCTGTTGTGATTTGTTTTCACTTGGTCTCCAGTGAAAAGGGAATCCTCAGAATTTGTGAGGGAGAGACCTTAGCAACTTGTCTCAACCACCCTAACAGATACACTTAACACAGGATTAATTTGGATATTGGGCTGCTGGAAGATGGAGGTTTGGAGGATCCAAAAAGTGAAGAAAGAAGTAGCTTGGCTTGCATGACTTTATATTTTGGTCTCTGCAGTCTATTCATGAAACTCCTTTCTCCCCAAGGCTGTTATGTTCTGGGTTGTGGACAGCTTGATCATGAGGAAACACAAGCAGAAAGATATGTTGAACATCAATGGATCCACAGACACTCCACAAGCTAGGAGGAGTGAGGAATCTCGGGTAAGACCAAAGATGTTCTAAGTCAAAGACCAAATTGTGCACTTGGGTATGGCTTTTGTTTTACCAGAACTATGCAGTGTGCCATCATGTTGCACCTGGACTGATGTTTGATGAATATGGGGGTGACCTTGGAAGTCCAAATAACTTCTGATGCTTATAGCTGAGGTCACAGAGGTTCCCTGGGAGGATTTGATGTAGTATCACAATCTATAAAGTAGTGCTGAAATACTGCTCTCTAGGATGACAGCATCTTGAGGGGGGGGGGGGGGCACCACAAGAGTGGCAGGCTGAAGCTGGTGGGCACATCTGCCCTAGTACTATCAACTTTGCTATTATTAATTTTAGTTGATCTCGGCTCAGATCTTGCTTTCCTGGCTGCAATTAGTCTCCTTTTTTGGGGGGCTTGGGGGGAGGAGAAGCACAAAGCCCAGCTAGGAATCCTGTTTTTTTTGTCAGTATTTTGAATTATTCAATCTAATAACGGTCTTGTAGCTGCAGAATGCTGTGTTTTGCATCATCTGAGCCTGACTACTGAAGTTAAGGAGACTGGGGTGGGAGTGGAATGCTCCAGTATCAGCAGGCTTTGTTCCTGTAGTTAATGACACGTGGACTACCAGGCAGTACTGCCTGAATTTCCCATCAGATTTCTTGCAGAAGCCACAACCTGATTCACTGGGTCGAATTCCCTTCCTTCCCCTTGGCTCCCAACCCTTGTTTGAATGCTGAGTGCCTGACTCCAGGTATCAGGAGACGCTGTGATTGTATCCTGCAGCTCACTGGCAAGAGTTAAGGTTAAATCACTTCTGGCAGTCATAGGCTGGCTCCTGGAATAGCTGAGAGATTTAAGATGGACAGAAATAACACTGAGAAAGCAAGAGGTATTTTACAGAGTAACTCTGTTCTTGTAACTGGCCATCATGCTCATTAGTACTATCAATACTGCACTGTATGCATAGGTAGTGGTGTTCAGAAGTGTTCTTGATGGCTTGAGGGTTCAGGAGGCAGGAAGGGCAGGCAGATGCAAGCAAGTGAGACAAATGAATCATTCTTCTTGGCCCAACATCCGGATAAACAGCTGTGGCTTGGCTAGGTTACTGAGAACACGTGAGCAATATTTCCCAGGGAGTTTCCTGAGCTGTGGGGCATCCTGAAGAAATCTGTATTGATCTGGAGAGGGAAGAGGAGCTGAGCAGTACCAAGATGTCTTAATAGTTGTACACTGAAGCTAAGGGCTGCTGCCTAGGACATAAAGGTGAACTAACTCTAGATAGACACTGTGCCCTGGTTATAGTACAGTCCTGGTTGCTTCATGTGTTCTACAGTGGTGCTTCCTGGGCAGGCCTCCAACCTAGCTCCACTCAAAATGTAAAACTGATGGTGAATATCTGCTTTACTGATTAGATGTGCTGGAGTGTTCCTGAGGTTTAAATTCGGCTAATATTTTGCTGCCTCCTTGCTCTTGTTTTGACTAGACAGCAACTCAGATGCTACAAGCTCTTTTCCAACCTGTTGCAACCTAAGCTTGGGTCACTTAACCTCACAGATGTTATCATAAGCTTCAGGCTGGTGTAGACACACAGATGGTGTTGAAGTTACTGGATCTCCATAAAAATGGAGTTGTCTCCTGCCTCACTCCATTGGAGGGGACAAGTGTTCTATGCCCTCTAGCTCAGTTTTTGGATAACCTAAAAAGAAGATACCTGTTAATCTCTGCAAGCTGGAAAGCTTCTTCTGATAGCTTCACCTAGGTAGGGCGCTTCATGTGCTGGATATGGACTTCTGCAGGCTGAATCTTTCTGTAGTGTCCTTTTCATATCCGCCAAGTATTTGGCTCCTTTTCTCATGAGAACTTGCTCTGAAACCTGTGTGCAGGCTGTCTGTCCACCTTGAAACTGTCTGATCCATCACCACAGTTTAGGTACTAACGTGATAGGTTTGTACCTGGAACTGTACATGGGACTGCTCAGATAAGCTCCTGTGTCTCCAGCACTATACAAATAATTTGGGTAGGGAAGGATGTTAATTAAAAGAAGAGTCAGAAACATGAGTGATCTTTTTTTCCCAATTCTGCTTCTTGGCATCGGGCCTTGAAGTAGACTCCTGCTTTGTCACTTTTTAATTTTATGCTATTAAATACAGTGTTGGATGGTTGAGTGCTACAGCTGGGATTTAGGCTCAAAATCAGAAAGTGGGGATTTTTAGGGCTTGTTCTGGTTAAGCTTTCTCCATGTGAACAGGTTATTCTTCCCTCCCTGCTGCCTACCTAGACAGGGAGGGAGAGAGAGAGAGTCGAGAAGCATCTCTGTACAGGGCAGGGCTGGCTGGGGCTAATGTGTCCTGTGGTTTATCAGGGTTCATCAGCACTGTCTAGCAGCAGGCGCCAACAGCTCCCCATCATGCTGCCTTCTTGAATTTCAACCCTCTGCCTATCTCACCAGTAGTGTCATTATTTTCACTTGAACTTGCAGTTTCTCTGGAAAAGAAGGGGGAGGAAGGAAAGGAGTGGTCTGAAGTTAACCTGCTAAAAAACTATACTCAGCACTTACTATAGGGATAGCAGCAATAACAACAGGTTGGATATTAGGGAAAACTTACTTTCAGAGTAGTAGTGCATTGGAACAGGCTGCCCAGCAAGGTGGAGGAGTCACTGTCCCTGGAGGTGTTCAGGAAGAGAGTAGATAAGGCACTGAGGGATGTGATTTAGCAGGCATGGTGGGGATGGGTTGATGGTTGGACTAGATGAACTTAGTGATCTTTTCCAACCTTAATGATTCTATGAGATGTTGGTTTTGTCCTTGGCAGTTCAATGAGCAATAAAAGGAAAACTAGCTATTCTGCCACTGATGTTGTTTGCTGACTCCACAGCTGTAATGCAAACCAAATAAATGCCCATCTCCTGGGTTTCAAAGCTCTTCTGTGAGCCATTGATGTGCCACTGGGCTCTTGTTTATAATGAAACTGCTGTGATGCTTAGGAATAGGACAAGGAGTGATGGCTTGAAATTTGAACGGAGGATGTTCCATGTTAAGGTGCAGAAGAACTTCTTCATAGTAAGGCTGATGGAGCACTGGCTCAGGCTGCCCAGAGAGGTTGTGGAGTCTCCTTCTATGGAGATACTCAAAGTCTGGATGCCTACCTGTGAGACCTATTGTAGGGAACCTGCTTTGGCAGGAGATTTAAATTCAATCTCTTGAGGTCCTTTCCAACCCCTGCAGTTCTGTGATTCATTTTCTTTTTCATATTGAAACTCTGCTTTTCAGTTGTAGCGCAGAAGAATTTCACTCTTGCTTCCAAGTCAGCCTTAAATCTTCCCTGTGTCACACGTGTCCTACCTTGGTAAATGTTCAGTCCATTTCTGCCTTTGTGTGGGATGGATAGGGAACTTCAGAGTGTCTGTCTGAATCTGGTGCTATTCAGGGTAGGGAAGTGCATTCATCTGCTTGGCCCTGATTTCTGCTTTGCTTGTGTCCTGCCCTTGACCTGTGTCTCTTTTCCCTTGTTCTTGTAAGCGTTGATAAACTTCAGATCTTATCGGTGGTTTCTTTGTTTTCATCACTTAGGAAAACAAGTCAGTTTTAATAATGTTGTATTTGATCTTTTTGGACTTGTTTTAGTTTTTTCCTCAGGGAATAAGTGAGCTTCTACTTCTTTTTTTCTCCTCTCTTTGAAGGCTTGCACTTTCAGAAGCAAATTACAGCAACGTTTGGTCTAGTAACAGTGGTACTTCTCAAAGTATTTGCAGAGAAACTGGAGGTTAGTTTAAGGTTGAGAGGAAAGCTAACGTACTACACGGACCTGCCTTTGGTTCTCACGGAGTTCAGCACCAATTCTAATCCCTTCCATAGGGATTATAACTTCTGGCAAATTTGCTAGATTGAAGGCGATGGTGAATGGTGATAGCTCTACTGCTTGCTTTAAGAGTTGAAGAGCACTCCAAGAGCAAGTTTGACTTGCTAATTGGTTAGCTGAGCTGATCTTTTTTAATAGCTCAAGGTGAAATGGAGTGCCTGCTCATTAGGGGAAAGTTGAATGAAGTTAGGTATGGTCTCTGGTAGGAAACTGTCCCACCTGTCAGTCCTACTGAGGTATGGGAACTCACCTGAACTCAGATGTGGGAGGAAGGTAGGATGGTTCCTGTCTCTACATGTAACTGGTAGTTTCAGACAAAATTCCATGTCTTGCATGGAAATAGCCCTTGAGCTTCTCTGTTTTCAACTCATTCTTCCTGGTGTGGGGAGGAATGTGTGAAATATTTGGGGGCTGAGTGGAACAGTAGCACATTGTCCTGAGACTGGGAAGCTACGGTCCATTTCCAGCTGTACCACTGATCTGTTGTGATTTTGACCTGGAAACATCTGTAGAGGAAGTGCCTTGACCAATCTGTGCTGAAACATCCCAAACAATTCTGTCTGGGCAAAAAAATGAGGGCCTGTACCATGGCTCTCATAGCAGTGAGGTGCTTTCACATGATGAAGCTCACCATGGAGCTATGGAAGGGTTACTGGAGGACTGTTGGCTTGAGTGGCTTTGTATGAGCTCTAGAGCAGGCAGATAGCAGCCCAAAGGGGTCTGGATGCACAGCCCTTTCTATGTCATCCATGGCTGGCTGTGAGAAGGTCTGAGCTTACAGCATGAAACCCACCTAAATAATCGGTTCATTAGACTCCAAAGATGACCTGGTGCAGTCTGTCAGAGTTCAGTGATTTTTTTTTTTAATTTTTTTTTTTTATATAATGCTATGTGTAATTAATCACCCATTTTTTTCAGGTCCTCCAGCATCATAATATTTATATGCCAAACAGGAAATCTTCAATTGGAAGAGATGGAAACTTTCCTGTGATGTCTTGAACAAAAAAAGAATGGGGTTGTGTAGGTTAACTTAAGGGGATGGAGGGGAATGAGATCTTAATCTGATCTATTGCTATCCTTTGAGTATCTGATGTGCTGCTGTGAGGATAACAAAATCAGATGGAGTGTGTGTGAGAGTGGGGAGAATGTCTTGTTCTGTGGCTGTTCGGCTTCTTTGAAGTCATTGACTCATTGCAATTTGTTTTTCCTGTTTAGTTGCTTTGTCGCTGTGGTGACTGGCTTGGTGATGCTGTCTTAAATAAACAAGTGGAGGATATGTTCATTCACAACTGTGTCTGGAGATGGCTGTGAATAAGGCTGTACTCCCGATCTGGTTGTGGTGTTTTCACCAAGGAATGCTGGGCTCTGGGTCTAGTTGAGCTGATGGTGGGCCTGTTGGGCTGAAAGCTTATGAGCTGTTCTGTAACTGGTGTCTTGGAGGTGGAAGGGTTTTGTGGGATGGACACAAGGCTTCACAGTTCAGTGGTTCCAGTTGCATCACAAATTGAGGCACTGGAACAGGCTGCCCAGGGAGGTGGTGGAGTCACCATCTCTGGAGGTGTTGGGGGGGGAAAAAAAAAGGTAGGTATGATACTGAGGTTTTAATGGACATGGTAGGGATGGGTTGATGATTGGAATAGATGATCTTGGTTGCTTTTCCAGCCTTTACGGATCTGTGAATTTAGGGTCAGATAGGGCTGAGACTTGAGTGGGAAGTCTTAGCTGGGTGAAGCTGCTGCTTTTCTTTTTCATTTGGCATAGGGGAGAGTGCTTATTGGCTCTTTTTCCCCTTATTGGCCATAAACTAATGATGCTGACTGGGTGTTGTGAAGCAAATGGAGGAGAGGGGAGGGACTTCTGACATCAGTCATCTAGAGAAAAAGAGCTGAAAGCCCTCAGCTGTGCTGCTAAACTGGTGCCCATCTATAGCATAGAGTTAGACCCTGAGTGTGAAAGATTTGGTCGTGCTGCTGATGCGGGGGATCACTGCTGACCAGAAACCCTTGGCTCCTAGCTGGTGCTGGAGTGACTGCACATCATCTGTGCTTAGATCTTGCTACTGCTGGGGCTAAAGACTGTAGGGCTGCTTTTGCTCAAAGCTGAGCTTTAAAGGAGTCAGATGGGGTCAAACAATCTGTCAAGCTGTAAATAGAATCATAGAATACTACCCATGCAAACAGTTTGTCTGTCCAGCCTGCTGGCTGGCATTAGGTTGCAGCTCTTCTGCGGGGCTGTGCAGCCATAGCCTGAGTAAAATTTAGCCTTTTTCCTCTTCCAGATGATATGGCTGGAGGATGTCCCGTCAGGATGGTTCTGTCTGCATCGAGCGAATGCTCCGGGCCGGTGGCAGCCACTTAGCTCAGAACTGCCTCTTGATAGCTTCAAGCCTGAGGTTAGCAGCTGAAAGCATAGGTGTTCTGGAGGCAACGGGCAGCCTTGTGGTTGTGCAGCAAAGTGTTCTTATCAAGGGAGCTACTGGTGGGAGGTGTTGATGCTCTGTTCTGGCTTCTACAGTTCAGACTCTGCTGGGTAGAAATAAGAAGGTGCCAGGCTAGCTCAGCAATTCTGAGCCTGCTGACTGTGGCTAAAGCAACCCTGAGCTCTGCTTGTTTCCCTGTCTGAGCTTTAGAGATCACAAGCAGCTGGGGGCCTGGGAAAATGTCTCTTTGTTACAGCTGTTTGCAAATTGTGGCCTAGTTTTTGTGCATCTCCTCAGAGGCTGCAGCCTGGCCTTAAAGTGAATGTTTGTGAATCCTGTCCCCTGGTGAACAGAGCTTTCAGCTGCCTGTTCCACTCCCAAGAGGGCTTGTGGGTACCAGAGCATCTGTGTTTGGATCCATATGTTCCTGGCTGTCTTTGGAGTGGTCAAGGTGACCTTAAGACCTCCCTGCTCTGCAAGATTTAACCCCATTGGCAGTAGATCCTTTTACGCGCTTGACCCCTCTAGCAGTCCCTTGCTAGGAGATAGTGCCTGTGGTATTAAGATGAGAGAACAAAATTCCAGCTTCCATCTGATTGAGGACTCTGATTCCATGAGCATCTGTCTGTTCTCCTCACCAGGTGCTGCTCTCTCCAGACATGGATTTTGACCAGTCTGAAAGTGACCAGGATATCTCAGGACTCCAGGGAACAAACCAGAAGATGAAGCAGCCCAGCTACCACGTGGTCATCTGACAGCACTGAGACAAGGGAGGTGGAGGAAGGAAGCAGTACTGTGATTCCTGAGCTGGCTGAGGAAGGATGCAGAATGCAGCTGATCTCTGGGGATCTGTGGAGCCCTGCCTCATGTACGCCTCTCCTTCTGCAGTTATCTCTTCGGGATGGTGTCCGTGCAGCCTGTATCTAAGCAGTATCTGCTTTATCTACCCAACCCTACCATAGGCACATTGCAGGCATGTTGAGGTTAGGGTAAGGATGTGTGCTTCCTCTGGCTGGCCAGCTGGGTGTAACGTTGTCAGGCTAGAGACTGAAATCAAAAAGTTCTCTTCTTTTTATAGAAAAATCCTATACTGTCTGAACTGTAACACTTTTATATGCACAGATGCTCTACAGAACTGGTTTGTGATTATATATTTAAATGCCTTGAATTGGGAAGATTGTCTCAGTGGATCTGATGCTTTTTTTTTTTTTTTTTTTTTTACTGTTTTATAAGGAATGCAATAAATATTTGACTTAAAACTGCTTCATATGTGAATTATTTTGCAGTGCCTTGTTTTGTGAGACACTAGCCCTGCCAAAAGGAAGGGGATGAGCTGTTGGGTCATCCCAGATCCTGGCATCTTCTGTTATAGGTTAGAAGTTCCTATTCTTTCTTGTTAACAGGCAACGATAATCTACAAACAGCAAAAATGCAAAACATTCTGCAGCTCTTAGAGGAGAGAACAGCTGCTTAATGTGCTTGCAGACAGCTGTGCTGAAACTCAGAGTCCAACAGAACATGGTCTGGTTTGGGTCTGAGCAGGTAGGCCTATGCAAGCTTCGCATACTGTAGAAGTCTCAAGAAGTGTTGGGCAGGAGTTGTTCTGATGGTTTTTTGGGTGGGGTTGGTCTTTTGTGGGTCTTCTCTCCCTTGTGTTTTCATAGAAAAATTGTTCCTTAATCGGGCACGTAGATAAAGGGTTTGGATTTTCTGACTTTAGAGGGCTCTAGTCCTTTAAAAACAAAGCTGAGAGGATGTGCATTTCCTCGGGTAGCTGTTCTTTCCAACTTCAAAGCAGTTCAGAAGTGTTAGATGCAAATAAGTCTTGCATGCCTCTGAGTGAACTGGACATGCTTGGCTACACTTGCAGCTGTGTAGCCCTATGATGTATTTCTAGAAGTTAAGTCCCTTTTTGTTTGTTCTTTATTTAACGGTCAAAATCCTACTTGTGCTGGCATGCCAAATGGCCGTTGGAACGAATGACACACAGCTCTCTGAACAGCTCATTTATACTGCTTCATGACATCACTCGTTGCCAAACAAGCAGAAGTTGAGGAGTCCTCTGCTGGCGAGGGCTGAAGCAACCCCTGTGCTGCTAAGGATCTTGAGTAACAAGAGTTGAAAACAGCTTCCTGTTAGAGACTTGCCTAGGTGAAATGGTATTTCAGTTTTCTTCTTGCTGTAAGCTGTGTAGTGCGATACTATGCAAAAGTACTGTCCTTATTCTAAAATGGAAGGTGAGTGATGTAATCTCAGTTGGGGAATAAACCTGGTGGTGCTCAGTGCTGGGTGAGGTGGGTCATCGTGATCACTAGGAAAAAACCTTCTTACTTTGAGGGGGACAGAGCCCCAGAACAGGCTGCCAAGAGAGGTGGGAGAGTCTCCTTCACTGTAGATACTGAAAATTGACAATTCCACTGTGCTCTGGTGTGATTGCTCAGCCTTAGTATCTGAGCAGTTTGTGATCATAAACCACATCGATGCAAAGCAAAGTACTCTGTGACACTCGTGAAGATGAGAACAGATGTGTGCTTGTCATGCACTCAGCACAATGTTTTACCTGAGGCATCTCTGGCTATCAAAAAGGGGTATAAAGATGAAGCCTGGACAATCCTGAGGGAGGAAAAGCATTAACGCCCCTTTTTTAGCTATTGGAACAGGTTGCCCGGAGATGTGGTGGATGCACTGTCCTTGGAGATAGATGTTTAAGGTTAGGCTGGGTCAGGCTCTGGGCAATCTGATTGAGCGGTAGGTATCCCTGCTTATTGGAGGGGAGTTGGATTAAATGGCCTTTATGGAGGTCCCTTCCAACTTGTGGTTCTATGGAAGTTGAATCATGAAGTTTTTAGTCCACAACCTGCTTTTGTCCAGTGATCTTGGACCAGCAAAAACATGAACTCTCTTAACTTCAGAGCGGTTCTTTCAGTCATCTGGTAGCATAAGTTTGTCCAGGAGCATGAAGCATGCCTACCCTTAGCTTCAAAGTGCATTTCATCTTTGGTAAATGAGAACTTCATGGTAGCGTTCACTGTAAAATATTTATTGTGAAATGGATAACTGGAACCTTAAGGAGAACTTGAGTACATTGCTCCAGGTGCTTCACATGGTTGGGCAGCTGGACTTGATCATTATTCTTTTCAGACCCTGAAAGAAATATGTTTTCTTGGCTGGGGAGGAGGACCAATGATGCACCTGAAGCATTAGCAATACATGTGTCTGTATATACATACCTATGTACAGGAGAGATGAGAGCTAACCAAATGGCTCCCACTAGCAATACACTTCAACAGCAAAATGTGGGGGGAGAGTGAAAATATTACTGTGAGGACTGCACGAGGACACCTACCATCTAGAAGTTTGCTGTCACTACCCTCATCCTGTGCTAGAGGAATGGGATGTTATTTTGCAATGGATGAGGTGATATTCCTACTGTCTTCTTGGGTAGAGAAGTCAACCTCATGGACTCTCCTTTTATTCCTGTCTTGTGAGCATACTGTGAAGTCTCTTTAGTTATTGTGTGATCAGAACTGCCAAAGGTCTTGCCTTTGCTTCTCCTTGCGGGAGAGCTGTTTTCCAAGATAGCCAGGCTCAAAGCAGTAGTTTGGAAAAAACATGGAGACAAAATCATGAGCCTTGGCAGACGTTTTGCACTGGCCAAGCTCTCTGGAAGGACCTTGCAGAGCACAGTTCTAGTTGGTTGCACTGGGCTGTTTCCCTCTCCCCATAGAATACAGTGTAAAAAAAGCAACCGTGCTCACTACCTGCTCTGCTGCTGCAGTGCTAACTCAATGATCAAGCAACTAGAAAACAACTCCACCCAACCCAACTCCAGCAGCTGGAGCTCTGACAGCAGCAGTATGACTTTGTTCTTAAATATGCAAAAAAATAGTCAAAATTGAACTTATTTCTGTATGCCTCTGGCAACTTCTTATTTTTCTGCTCACACATGGATATCATTTAGCTCTGGAGATGCTTCCATTAGCTACCCGCCTTCCTTTCTCTAGAAGAGGCAGAGCATGCATGAGTTCAATTTGGCCGCAAAGACTTGGACTTCGTGGTTGTCAGAGTCCTCTTTGGCCAAGTTCTCTACCAGCAAACTCCCCTGTGGCTGATGTATAGCATTATTCAGTGGTGCCTCATTTTAAAATAGACCACAGCTTTGCTGTTCGGGTTTGGAGGTTTCTTTGCAGAGCAGAACCACCTGCAGTGGGGGTGGCTGGCAAAACCTCCCCTAAGCTTCTGCTGCCAAATTCCTGCTGTGTACAAATTCCTGCAGGGCAAGGAAGGAGAAGCAGCCAGGGAAACTGGGATGAAATTTTTTGAAGATTTGGAATAAATAAATACTTCTCTGATTAGAAAAGCAGCTACAACTCTCCAGTCTAAAGTCAAAATTGAGACACTTCTTTGAAGGTTCACAAGCTATGGAGAGTGCATGTTCATTATCTTTCAGCAAATTTAAATCTCTGCAAAGCAGAAATGTTCTGCTCAAGGAAATGGGAGGTCTGCTGGAAGCTCACCATGGAACTTTGCTCCTCTCTGAGGGAGTAACGAATCAGGATGAAATCACGACATTTATAATGTCATTTAAATGGGACAGCTTGTGGAATGACTGCTGGCACCGATCCTGTTTCTGCAGAGGACCACAGGTGCTTTTATGTACTTTTATGTTTATGTGCATGCAGCCTGTACTCTAAGACAGCAATAAGCTCTATAAGGGTTTTCACCACTATATTAAGAGTCTGTAGTATTCAGGGCACAGCCTGTTTAGTGGCAAATCCAGATCCTATCCCAGCAGCCAAGAAATCAATACCTTGTTGTGGCCTTTAAGTTTTTATTTCTTTCTTACCTTTTTGATGCTAATGGCTCTCTGCAGATGAATATCCACCCATCTCTCCTCTCCCTCTTCTCTTCCCAGAGACCATGGCTGGAGCATGTACTCCACGTCACTTCCTTGCAAAGTATTTTCACCCAAGGTTGCCTCCCTAGATAGGCACTGTGATGTATGATTCACGCCTTTCATGGGTGACTCACAGACCCTGGGGTTATTGCACAGATCCCTGAATGGATTTAAGGCAGGCAGCTCTCTGCATTTATAGGACTGCTAGCCCCTTTCTCCCTCCTGACCCACTAGGAGAACACCAATCACAACTTTAACTGTATCCTCAATCCTTTCCTCCCACCTCCTTGTCTTCAGGAATTTGATGAACCCTGTTCATCTAGCATGAATTAGAGACAGTGGATTTCCAAGGGCAACAAGACTTGGTTTCTTTGGCACCAAAAAGTATAGAAATATTCATAAATTGCCTATCTCTAGAGGCTTCAGAAGGGACCCGCTGTCACACATGCTGCTGCAATGCATTGCTATGATCAGTCTTAAAGGCTGTTTCTCGTCCCAGGGCTGGTCCCAGTGTCAAAAGGATGAGAAGCCAAATAGTCTTTATAGCTGCCATCAATCAGTTTGTCTGCGTTGTTTTTGGCAAACCAGCAGTCAACTTGCTGCTGGCCATTGTAGATCCTCCTTTGCTTCCACACAACAGGAACAAGCCGGCCCTTCACTTTCAGAGTGTTTGTAAGGTTTGGCTGTAATGCTTCGGTTTGGTTTTGGCCAACTTGCTGTTGATTTATGTTTAAAGATTCCCGAAGAAGTTTAACTTCATGGCTCAAGAACTGACCTGCAACACAATATAAAACACATCACTTTAATGGTTGCTTTGTGCCTACGTATAAGTAATTTTTTAAATAGGTTATATGGTGAGGGTTCTCAGAGTGCAGAGTTGTTTACAGCTTCTCTGCAATAGCAGGATGAGTCTAGGTCCTGAGATACTTTAATAAAACTTGTGAAGACAGAGATTAGAATAAGACCTTATTTCTTGTCCACTGACTGAGCTAAAGATCTTCTTGATCTGCTAGTAGGTAGTGAGTTCCCCTCTGTAGGCCATGGTTACTAGAGGATGATAGCCCAAAGCCTATCAGCAAGTGGAAAGACTGTCTAGGCCTATAACACCAAGTTTTCCTCTCTAAACCTCTTAATCTCTCTTAGGCAGATGCAAAGGGCCTGAATCCAAAACTCCAAACTTAAAGGATCGTCTCCTGCTCAGCCTGAGAATGCCTGAACGTCATGGAAACTGGCTTCAGCCTTAGTTCTGTATATGTGTATGTCCATAAACATCACTTCTTGTCATCCAAAAGAGCCTAACTGTTCAGACATTCTCTGAACCTTCCTAAAGCCCAGCTGCTCTCAGAATGTGGGGA